GTATGCAACATGGCACTGTTTTCTTGAGATTGCAATATCTCGAGAATGGCGCTTTCGTTTTGGCTTAAACTTTCAGGCTAATATACGAGCCACAAGACCTACATGTGGGCAAAATTTCAGATCGAAACTCCTTAATTTGATTTTTCGGTAAATATCGTATCATAGGTGATAAACCCAGTAAAATGACCATAACTCGAGAAGAATGGGCCATTGTCCTTTTGGACTTTTTCTAGTCTCATTGGACTCTACTTATGGGCAAAATATCGGCTTACAAGCTTTGAATCACTTCGGGCGGTTCCCTTGTGAGACCGATTTGGATTTGGGTTCTGTAACTACTACAGGCGGCTCAGATCCATCAACATAAAAAACGACTCAACTCTGTTAGTTTTGATACAATACTTTCAAAAAGAACTGCCCGTGTAGCGCACATTATACCAATCGGTATTTATCACATGAGAGTTTTTTCGTTACTCTTGATAGCTTCTTTAAAGAATGTTGAATCAATATCATGTTCTCACTAAAAAGCGAAGGTATCAATTGTTCGTTATTATCATCAGAAGATCATTTATTAATAAACATATATGAACTGTTATGTTAAACAAAACAAAAATTAAAGCAAATTCAGTTTCTTCTAATCACTAAACAAATATTTTCTCTTTCGTTGTGTTATTACGATTAACTGGATAAGATATCATTCTGTTTTTTTTTTCTAATGAACATATCCATCTGCTATACTTGCTCGTTATGATGACACATGTTTGTTTGTCTTTTCGTAAACATCTGACGACAATTTTTTTTTTCTCCTTCAATTTGACACATTTGCATTTGTCTACTCATTCATTTCTTCGTTCATCTTCAAATATGATACACATACATATTGACAATATGCATGCAACTGTTATAGATATTAATGTAAATGTTTCTATGAAAAAATCTACAAGTTCAGCACCAAAAAATAAAGTTCGATCACCAAGTATTTCAATGAATTATTATAGTAATAAACAACAACAAATATATGATGATTTATATAATAAACCGATTAATAATTCTTATCCAAATTATTTAAAAAATAAAAAAATTTATACACTTCAACAAATATTTGATAATGTTGAATCAATTCAAAAACAATATGAAGAATTTATAGAAACTCCAATAATATCTTCATCTTCATGTTTTTTTTCATTTAAACAAATGATAAAAAATTTCAATTTTTTACGAAATAAAACAAATGAACAAATACAAAAATCTAATCAAATAGAAAATAAATCACCATTTATTTTTGGTGGTGAAACACTTCAATGGATTGCTTTACCTCAGTATATTGATCATATTTATGAAAATGAACTTATTCATTAAACTATTCGATTTTTTTTTTCATTGTATTCATAAGAAAAATAATATTATTTTTGTAAAAATAAAATCATCATCATAAATGAAATAACTACTATTCATTTCAAAATATAGTTTGTTCCATTGGTTTGTTTTTGGGATAATTCTTGATAGGAAGATCATAGATACCTGTGGTTTTCATCATTCAAGAGAAAGAACCTGCAGTTATCAAAATTTGACTGGTTAGCGATTGATCGATCAGAGAAGTTATTTGTGTAGATTTCTGAAAATGATATTTCTAAACTATTTTCTTTTGGATTTAGACTTTAAATAGGCTTAATTGGTAGAAAAAAATCTTCTTTTTCAATCTAGACAAAGCCGACATTCTTAATTTGTTTCATTCAAGAGTTATAAAACTTTTTCAGAGATTCTCCATGTCAGCCAATTGATCTGTGACCATCCGAAAAAAGTAGCTAGGTAACAATCATTCAACACACTAAGTGAGATGGTGATCTTTGTCTTTAGGTTCAAAATGATGTGACTTTGTTATCTAAATATTTCTGAAATTCCACAAGCAGTCTTCATAGAATGAAGGAGTTGACATTTCGAAAGTATTGAGATAACAAAGTCAGATTACTTTGAACCTAAAAACAACTATCACTATTCGACTCAGCAGAACTCACCTAATAGATCAAATTGCTAAATAGTCATATTTCGATAGCCCTGAATCTTCTCTCTCGAATAATTAAAATCGCAGGTCTCGATGATATTTCTGTCAAAAGTTATTCGAAAAACAATGAAAGATATGATATTTTGAAATGGTAATTTTAAGCAATATTACTAAACTTTTTGTTGACAAATAAAAACTTGATTATCTTTTTTGTGTACTCAAAAAGTGAGTACACTCTAGAATCGGTCAGTATGTCCGGCCGGCCGTTTACACGATAACTGTCGCAAGAAGAGTCAGATCAAGATGAAATTTTGTAGATAGTTGAG